TTCATTTCTATGCAATATGTCTACACCTGTGATTCTCAATTTCGATGTGTAAAATCATATCGCTGCTGTACGTACTGGTCGGCGACGGCTGACAGATTGTTTTGGTTCAGCGGATTTCTTGGCATGGGCAACTGATTTTTAGGTTTCTGTTTTTTTAATATTCTGACGTTTGCTTGGTCGCATTTTTTATATACCACCCAGACACTTACAACAAGTAAGTAAACGGGTCAGGACATAGGAAGCACTAGGACATATGACTCTGAAGGCCAGAGAAAGCGTCATCCATCGTACAACATTAATGAACCAAATGTACATTACAATCTTATGCTTCCGAACAATCCAAAATTTATGCTGGAGAACAGACTATACAAGTACTGTCTACGATATACTGCAAAATGGAAATGACATACCTATTTAACCGTTGTTGATTTTTGTACAGAATTCTAAGAACACAAAACAAACAACTAACAACATTCGACAAAACAAAAGCACTACACACTAGTCACTGTAGTCACACCAGTAAGAAATACTGTGGAACTTATTACAAATGTAAATACAAAATAAATGTCAGTGAATACAATATTTATTAATCCGCAGCCTCAATGGACAAGTTCACAGCCTCTAATATTGCAAACCGTTAGCTGTGAACTGAACTGAACTTTAAATTTCATCAGAAAAAAAAAATGCAATATTAAGTCAAGGAAAAATAATGCTTATTTGTCAAGGCTATGTATTAAATTATCTTATTTTGGGTGTATTTTTGTGAGTGTGCATGCATGCATTAAAATGATCAAAACTTAAAATGTAATCATAGTACGAATGTAAAGTAAACAACATTATGAGTGATTTTGGATTTGTTGGAAAAGTAGCCAAAATGCTGTGACATGGTCTAATTGGTGGTGGGAATTGCCAAGCCAGTTTATAAACCAAGCCGGTAGGCTGGTTGGCGATCCGCTCCGCTCAAAAACAAGCAACATATTTTTCGGCTTTTGTCATGGTAGGACATGAACGTCAGGGTGAAGCTAACGTCGGTTTATAACTAAAACCGGGCCCCGTATACGAAGTTAGCAAAAAAAACACTCAGTCTTTAGAAGTCACTTTATTTTATTACTAGGACGTATTTTGCTGTTAAATTTATTATTTCCAACCGCTTTGCGATAGTATTTTCTGGATTGAAGGCAGCATTTAAGATTTATTCATAGTTCAAAGTTGCGTTGGGATTACGTTGATACAGTGTAAAATGTTGGCACCGGTGATCTCTTACCAGTGCGCAACGTAGCCAAAATAAAAAAACAAAAACAAGATCATATGAACACTATTACAAGACTGGTAGGAGGTAATACATTTTGGACGAAAGTATTCAAAAATCAATTTTTGGCTGTTGCCATGGCAGCGGTGAACCTAGATTTTTTATTTAATTAGTGACGGTACGACCTGCCTGTCAAGTATGAACACAATTAGCAAATACAAAGAAAAAAAGCACAGAGCAGTTAAAAACCGTTGGTGGTAAAAAGTTACCCCAACTTTGAGGTCAAGTTTCTCGGTTATGAAAATAGACATAAAAACCCCAGTGAATTTATGCCCACTGTCATGAATTTGTTTTCGCGTATCTGTTGACCGACTTAATTAGTTGATTACGAGCGAATTGCTGTGTTATGTCTGTCATCGTTTAGGTCTAATTGAAGTTTTGGACGGAACTTGGCTCAGTGATTTGGAACTAATTACCAGATAACCACCGCTTTTTAGACTACTCATTCTGACAGTTTATATCCATAGTTATTAATGTAGTGAACGATTAATCAAAAGATATGACGTATTCAGTACTTAGTGTGATTGGCTTTATGATTGAAGGTTACGCCTTAGAGTCTTTTTACTGCTTTGTAATTGGTTAGAGTTTTGAAAATGAATAAAGAGAGTTTGAGTTGGTCTTGGCGAATACTCCACGACAGACGCAGTCTGAGTCCGAGAGAGTCCAGGGGCGAGCCTTGAGGCAGTCCAGTCTTGGGCGAGTCTTGGTTCAGCCTTGTGAGAGTCTTGGGGACTTTTCCCCAGGGCGCTGTGTCTGGTAGAGTGCTCGATTGACCGACTAAGACGAGAGTTGAAACGTATTTCGTTGTGTGTGTCTTATTTGATTGTAAAGTTAAAGTGACTTTCCCGATCCCGTACCTCAAGGGGACGATATAGAGACGAGACGAGATTCCCCCCTGACAAGTGTGGAGAACCCCCGAGAGAGAG